ATATATATGTATATATATGTATGTATATATATATATATGTATATATATGTATATATATGTATGTATATAGATATATATATGTATATATATATGTATATATATATTTACATATATATGTATATATATATATATATTTACATATATATAAGTCAGAGCACACAGACAACACCATCACTGCTGTCACGGACAGTCACCATGATGTTGTTGTTGTAAACTCTGACAGGCCCTCACCAGAAAAAGGGGGGTACAATCACACGTCACTGACGGTGACCCGTCACAAACTGAAACCTCAGAAACAGCAACAGCTGTGTTAACGGTTCAGACAAATCAAGGTGACACAAACAACAACGTTGCCGCTGTCACGGACAGCCACCAGGACCTTGTTGTTACAAACGATGAGAGCCCCTCAACACACAGAGAGCAGGTGATCTCATACATCAGTGACGGAGGCCCGTCAAACACCGAACTCTCAGGAGCGGCAGCAACTGCACCAACAGTTCGGACAAACCAGGATTACACAGGCAAAAGTAAACGTAAGAAGAAACATTGGCCAAAACCTACAAGGTTCCTGTGTAACCTGATTAGAAAGGGGGTCGCTAAAAAAGCTTACCTGTCGATCACACTTGAAGGGGTCCTCACACATGAAGCCCTACTGGATGGTGGAGCCGACATAACTATTATGTCAGCCAAACTGTTCGAGGAGCTCAGGACCGCCGCAAATGGTGTTCACAGGGAAATACCTCTCATAGAATGTGCTAGAGAAATGCAGGGCCTCGCAGAGACGAGGACAACCCTAACAGCTATAGCTATGGTTCACATGCAGATTGACGAGATGACACTATACCACCCGGTACATGTGTCTACGGTTGACTCATTCCCACTTTTGATCGGCCAGGATTTTATAAATCTCTTTGAGGCGATTATAGATTATGGTGAACAGACAATGTGGGCCAGAGTGAGCAAACCCCTGCCAATACTCATGCCTCCTGAGACAGTCACAGACTGCCCAACAGCATGTACCGCAGAAGGCACCGAGGACCTCTCAGCAGAGAACACAGTCCCAGTAAGTAATCCTTCAAAAGCATGTGAAACCGAAGAGACCCAACCGGTGGACCCAACTCTGACTGAACAAGAAAGCCTCCTCTGCGAGCTGAGACAGTCAGAGCCCACCGGATACTACCTACCGTTGGTAGTTAAAGGTGTAGAGATCCAAGGATCCCACACCGAAGATGCTGTACTGTCGCTGTGGGCAGATAAATCAGCTATTAACCAAGCTTTCTACGAAACATTGGTTAAGAAACATTTGGGTTCAGTTCTGATCAAGAAAGCGCTCCGCTTTCCATTGTATCCCAACAGTTCACGAGTGATGACTGCGGAAAGAATCATTAACCTGAAACTGATCTGGAACCAATGGGAACTGGTCCACCCATTCCTCGTGGTCCCAGACTTACCACATGCAACCTACATAGGCTCTGACATCTTGGTAAGATTAGGTGTCCGAGTGGACACCAGTCACAATGTGCTGTGGTCACTAAAACCAGCCAAAAAGGATCCTCCTGTGCTAGACACAGCAAACCTTACGGCTGGACAGACCATTCCAGAGGTCTGCCAGGTTGCTAGCAATCAAAACACCTCAGTACCACCTCAGGTAACAAACCTAATGGTACGAGTCCACATCATGGCGGGACAAGCTATTAGCCTTAAACAGGCGTACTTTCAACCATCTCCTACGTTTTTCAAACTAGGACTGTCCATGGAGGCTGCAAGCCAAGTGAGCCTCGACTCCAGAACCACATCTGTTGCTGTGTGCAACACAGGCACAGAGGAGGTCCTGATCCCGAGAAATACAAGGCTAGGATGGTTGATCTCCACAGATTTTCATGATTTTGAACTTGGCATTCCATTTCTGGGAGGACTCCCAGACAAACTGGTATCGAGTCTAGAGACTGGTCCAGTTTGGTTCACAAAACCAACACAGGCCATAGCTCTCTTCTCAACCAATGATGTCGACAAAGGACCTCAAACCTATAGTGTCCTACCTATAGACAGGTCTGAAGACACAGAAAGGGACTCACTGGGGCTCCCCAAACATATAGAACCCTTAGCAATCTCTTCACAGATTGAACAGGTGGTCGCCCAAGCCGACGCTCTGACGACTGATGAAGAAAGGGATAAACTCCGCCAAGTTCTCATGAAATATGAGAAGTCATTCTCGACTGACTCAATGGATTGTGGGTTGACCTCGCTCCACACAGTGAGCATCCCAACTCTGCCAAACTCACCGCCTACATTTGTCAGACAATACAAGATTCCCCTGGCAGCACATCAACCTGTCAAGGAAATCATTGATGACCTTTTAGATAAAGGCATAATCAGACATTGTAATAGCACCTACTCTGCGCCTTTATGACCAGTGTTGAAACCAAATGGTAAGTGGAGACTTACCATAGACTAAAGAAAGCTAAACAAACAAGTTCCTTTATCTAGGTGGCCAATGACCCAGATCCAATAGGAACTGCCCAAGGTCACCGATGGTAAGTATTTTTACACCCTCGACATCACCTCTGGTTTTTGGACCATTCCTGTGCGCGCCGAGGACCAACACAAATTAGCTTTCACTTTTGGTAGCCGACAATACACCTTCACCAGGTGTCCCTTGGGCTACGCTAACTCACCAGCTGAGTTCAACATCTTTTTGAACAAAGCATGTCCAGACGCCCACGAACGTGGGACACTGATCTATGTGGACGATGTCCTTTTGAGGCAGCCAACACTGGACTTACACTTGGCTGAGATCGACCACATTCTGAATCAACTGACTACTGCTGGTGCTAAAATCTCACTGTCAAAATGCCAGTGGTGCAGGACCAAGGTGGACTACGTTGGCCTACTAGTAGGTCCAGATGGAGTACAACCACAATTGACTTGCACCCAAGGCCTAGACAATCTCAAAGTTCCCCCCAATCTCAGAGAACTACAAAGTTTTCTGGGCATGTGTAACGACTCACGCCAATTCATAGAGAACTATGCAGACCTTGCAAAACCACTGACTGAACTCTTAAAGAAAGACGTCCCATTTGTCTGGACTGATAACCAACAGTAGGCAATGAACACTCTCAGGGACAGACTCAAGTCAGCCCCATGTCTAGTCTATCCAGACTACAACAAAGAGTTTCACCTGGAAGTGAGCTTCTCAGCTCACTGCATGAGTGCAGGTCTGTACCAGATGCACGACAAAGATAATGGCAGGCCCCGAATTAAAGTTTTCAGACTGTGAGAAAGCTCTACTGACCACTGTGTGGGCAGTTAAACACTTCTCCAGTTACATCGGTGGACAAAAAATCATTGTTGAAACACAACACCAGCCATCCTGATGCATGCTCAATAATCCAGGTAGAAAAATCCAAAA